CCCCCCCCCCCGCCACCTGCTACTTGTTAGTTACTGTCCCCATGTCATTCTCCCTCCCTGTCTCCAGTCCTGCTGGAAGGGCTACCCCTCTTCCTAGAAGTGGTACCTGTGCACTGGACCACATACCCTCTTAGCTCCTCAGGGACCTGGATCCGAAAACTACCCCCTTTCATTTCTCTTTGCCTCTATGGGGTTCCTCTCCTTTCATCGTATTATATCCCCCATATTTTATTTTTGGCTGTTTCCCCTTTGTGTCCCCAGTTTTGTGCTCTAGATGGGAGCAGGGTTCTCCAGCAGCTCTGCCTCTCAAGACACCGCCTTCTCATAGCAGGATTTGTCTCTCCTATCCTGGCATGCAATCACACTGACTGGATTAAAAGTCGTTCGACTACTTAATGTGTGGCAAACCCTTTTTACTAGATTCATACCTAACTGTGGCCACTTCTGTCCTTTTCATTTAATTTTGCATAGTTGGAATGACATTTCAGCATTCCATGCACCCATTTTTTCTTTTTTTAGGCTTGAGTATCAGATGTCGAAGAATTGCTAGGGTACTTCACCCTGATCTCTGTGTTTGTTCTCGCGCCCTTTTTCTGACCTTCCCCCCTGTCCTCCCCTACCTCAGCCAGCGCATCTGTACTCACACAGTCATACTGGTTCTGCCTCCACAGATTGGGTACGTTGTAAATGGTTTCAAGGTAGGGGAAGATGTTGCTCAGAATAATACCAGCCAGCACAGCCTGCGGGGGGCGGGGCGGGGGGGGGGGAAGGTAAGTCCTGTTTCATTTTCCCTTTGGAGAAAATTTGGGGTGGGGAGGGGTGGGGGTGGGGAGGTAAAACTCCCAAATCTTCACAAAGGTACCACAAAAAGTCACCCTTGCCACTCAGAAATGTAAAAAATCACCAGGACCTCAAAGCAGAATCTGGGGGCACCTGGGTGGCAAGTCGATTAAGCATCTGACTTCGGCTCCACAGTTTATGGGGTTGGGCCCTGTGTGGGGGGCTCGGGGCTGACAGCTCGGAGCCTGGAGCCTGCTTCAGATTCTGTGTCTCCCTCTTTCTCTCTCCCCCTCCCCCGTTTGTGCTCTCTCTTTCCCTCACTCAAAAATAAACAAACATTAAAAAATGATAAATAAAAATGAAAGATAAAGCAGACTCTCACCTACTCTAAGAAACATTTTCTTGTTTTCATGAAGTCCCTGCATGAGGGTCACATTTCTCAGCCTTTTTCTAGCTATCTCTTCTGTATATGCTCTGCCTGGGCATTAGACTGATCCTGCCACCAGGAATGGCAGGTTACTCTGGTTTTCTGAGGTGGCTTGGTGACCAGGTCAGCAGAGGAGGGAAGGGCAAGGATGAAGTCAGAAGGAATCACTTCTCTCCTATCTTCATCCTCAGTCAAGAATCTCCACATGCTCTGCGCATTGCAGGAAGATGCGGTGGGAAGGGAAAGGAACTCAACCTCACGAGGTTCTTGCAAGAAGAGTAGAGAGTGTGAAGAAGAAAAGATCCTTTCACAAAGTCATACACAATAAAAATTTTGCCTTTCTGAATGTGAACCTTCACACTGTGTTGGTCCCCTTGCCGACCCGTTGAGATCCTGGCCAGGATGCTCCAGCAATTACTCCAATAAGGATTTTGTAACAAGGGGTCCATAATCTCTCAAGGATGAAGGGCTCATTCATAGTTGAATACTCACAGAGCCCCATTATTAAAGCTATTCAGATATCCCACTGATCAGATGGTGTTCACATTTTCCCACCCAGAAAATGGTATAAAAATAATGTGACATAGCATGGTTAGCCAAAAGCAAGGGCTGTTCTGTCTCTAATGTATTGATAATAAAGGAGTGCCCTTAGTGGATTCTGACAGATTTTTAGCCTTTTTTAAAAAATGTTTATTTATTTTTGAGAGAGAGAGAGAAAGAGAGAGAGAGAGGCAGAGAGGGAGACAGAGGATCCAAAGTGGGCTCTTCGCCAACAGCAGAGAGCCCCGTGTGGGGCTCGAACGCATAAACTGTGAGATCGTGACCTGAGCCAGAGTCGGACACTTAACTGACTGAGCCACCCCGGGGGGACCCCCTGACAGATTTTTATATGTTTGCAATTTTTAAAAATTCTGATTCTTCCAGCTGTAGAGAAAAAAAAAAAAAATCACCGTTCAGAGTAAATTAGTGAGTGGCCCTCCGAAGACAGACTTTCAGAGTGATGGCACCAAAGGTGCTATGTAAACTAAATTCTGGAGATGACTTCTGCTGGGCATCAGAAGACAGCTTGTGTGATGAATACAAGCTTGATCCCACCTTCTGTGCATAGATTCTGGGGCTGGGCTCCAAGGTCTCCGAATCACAAGAGCAGAAGGCAGCAACAGCCTTGAGGCAGTCCTGCTCTTCAGAAACCTGACTATTCACCGGGCAGGATGGAGATATTCAAAAGGATGGGGCTAACATTTACCACCACTCTGGCTTCAGGGACGGCCACTTCACTGTGTCACCAAGCTGCTACCCCAGTAATGAAACCTCCTTCCTTCCACCTCCCTCAGCACTATCTAAAAATGGCTAACGGGAACATTAAGGAAATTTAAAAGGACGTCATGGTGACTGAGCAGTGATCTATATGGTGACAGAGAACAAATTGATTATAGCCAATAATTAATGCACCTCTAAATGCAAGGTCATCAGTCTCTCACAAAGGGAAGAAATGGCACAGAAGTATAGAAGTGCACAGAGGTGGCTTTGCTGAGCAGAGTTAAAACTCAACTTTCAGACCCCTGCTTTCTAGTGTTGTGAACCAACCACAAGGCAGAGAGACTGTCACAGGGCAACCGAGTTCATATGAATGCAGAACAAGGCCTTCTGGAAACGGCTTGGGAAACAGATGGCATGCATACACAATGAGTTTCCAAGCCTGAGTCGGTGAGGGGCGTTCTGGCATCTGAAGTCTATTTTGGTCATCTTTAACTGAATCTTTACTTATACAGCTTACTTTCTAGCGTAAGCCATAAAATGAAGGTCAGCGAAAATGAGAATAATTATATTATCTAATATTTCTTGAGCATGTATAACTAGCTCAACACCATTCTGTTTATATTAGAAATATTATCTTATTTACTCACCACTCCTGTGAAGTGGTTGCTATTAATTTAAAGGCAAAGGATGAGAGCTAGGGTGGGGCGACTGCTGGGAACAAGGTGAATGCCCCACCAAGACGCAGTGGGGAGATCTGGTCTTTTCGCTACTCCACGTTCTTTATCAGTTCTACTTACATTTGGCAGTTCGTAGAAAAAGGGTCCCACTTTGACCATCAGGAGCAACATCACACCAGCGCCTACCAGAGATGCAAACTGAGGAGACAGAGCCAGTTGGAGAGAGACCATCGGGAACGTATTGGTCCCTGTCTGCAACTGATGCCTTATGCATGGTGAGAAGCGTGTCATTTTTTGCTTAAAAGGAGTTGAATGTCACCATCCAGCACAAGTGCATTTTCACTGAACTGATATTTTCAGGTCTTGTCAAAGTGCTAAACACATACTAGGTACTCAATCAATATTTGTCGAATGAATGCGTGAATGCTTTCTGCAAAGTGCCAAGCTGTCTCAGGTATTTGGATCTTTATTGCCATAGCATTGTGCTGTGCATCTGGAGTCTCCTAAAGTCCGGCTTGCCTTCCCTCACAACTTTAACTCCTCCTGGAACAGTCTAGAAAAGCCTTAGTAGACTCGTCACTTCAGCCCTAAAATCCCAACCAGTCCACTTTTCATGTCAGTAAATATCTCCCTCCTCGCTCTCCTGTTTGGAGCTTGGATAGCTTCCCATTTAACAGTTTCAGTGGTGTTTCATTTTTTAAAAATGTTGATTTATTTATATTGAGACGGGGGGAGGGGCAGAGAGAGGGAGAGAGGGAGAGAGAGAATCCCAAGCAGGCTCCGTGCTATCGGTTCAGGGTCCAATATGGGGCCTGATCCCACGAACGGTGAGATCATGACCTGAGCCGAAATCAAAAGTCAGACACTTAAGCCACTGAGCCATCCAGGCGCCCCTCGGTAGCGTTTTATCTTAAAAATGCAACGATAATCATTTCTGATTTCCCTACTTCAGTTTTTCTCTGCTTCATTGCCATAAAAAAGGGTACAAATGTGAGCCAGGGCTGCAAATAGCAGCTCTGGGTCCTACGCTGGCTGGGTTGATGACTCTGGGCTCAGCGTTGCTTGGCAAGCAGTGGTTCTGATTGGCAGATACAGAGAGCAAGCTAAGTTACGGTCTCAAGGCTCTCTGGACATAGTCTTGAACTCAATACATCCTCTATGGGTACGTTTCCATTGGTTAAGCCCCTAAAAATAAAAACTGATGGAAAGCAGTATAATCTCCCACTGCACTGGGGGATGTGTGTGTGGGAGAATAAAACTAACCACAAATCAGAACAATGGCATATACAAGCAGGAGCTGAGGGAGTCCCTCAAAGCTAAACTATTAAGTGACTGTTCAGCAGTGATTCTCCCATTTTTCTCTTTATTTCTTAGGTGTGAAAAAAAAGGAAAAAAGAAAAACCCTTCCTACTGGATTCCCTCTCACTGCGCACTGCAATTTGCATATAAATGCACCACTGAAACTAACAGCGATGAAATCAATTTCCTACTTCCTTCTTTCCCCGTCCCAGCTGCTTCATAGTTGACACCAGGTGATGGTAGTACAGAAAGGGGGATTTAGGAAAATGGACCACTACAACAGAAAGTCAGGAAGTCCTAAGGGCAAGCATTTTATACCCCGTGGAACTGAAACAAGTAACTGAGGCCATAAACTCCTTCAGCCAATGTACACATCAACCTGTTGTTGGATCTAATCTGAGGGTCTTGCTTTAGGTGGTCTTTGTTGGCTCTATAGAAAAACTACTTCGATCAGCACAGGAAAATACACCAGGACTTCCTATCACTTCTTCCTTCACCTATCTTCCTATCACTTCTTCTTTGTTGGTGTGTTGTTTTGTGTTTTGCGTCCCTGTCCCTGGGTAGGCTCGACCTACCACTTCTTTTCTCCACATTCTTCTGATTTAAAGAAACAAAGACATGCAGATGCTAATATAAGCTGCATTAAACCTAGATTTAAATGAGTACAGGGGTGGGTGCCTGGCTGGCTCAGTCAGAAGAGCATGTGACTCTTAATCTTGGGGTTGTGAGTTCAGCTCCATGCGGGGTGAAGAGTTACTTAACTAAATAAAACTTAAATAAATAAATGAGTACAAACTGGACAGTGAATCCCATAAAACTTGCGGCTGAGACAGGGTTGGGAGGTCTGCCCATAACTGTGTGTCTCCCCGGGCTGTGCACACAAGAGGAGTGGGCTTTGGGACCACAGGGCAATCCTCGGTGGCATTGTGCCTTAGGAGGATGCTTGATGGCTCTCCGAATCTCAGCCTCTGTGTCTGAACAGGGTCTACAGACAGCAAACATGGAGAAGTTTACAACTCGTGCATATTTTGCTATTCCGTTCTCATTTCCATCACTTTCCCAGGCTTTCTTGAAGAAAAACGGGGACTCTGCCTTCTCTTTGGGAATTCAAGGCAATGTGAGTTCCCGTAAACCACAGCCACTGTGGACATGCAGACCCTCAGACACCAATTACTTCATACGTAGTGGGTTCCATGAAGCAGAAGTGTTGTAGATTGCCAAGCACTGGCCGGGGCCCTAGGGAGCTAGGGTAGAAGCTGTGATTTTTGAACTCTTAAGTGACAGGCACTATGATAGGCACTATTGTCACCTAATTTAATTCTCATAACCAAAAAGTTATCTTTATTCCCATTTTCCAAATGAGGACTAGAGCCTCAAAAAGCAAAAGTCCAAGGTCACACACACACATCTAGGAACCACTGAGTCAGGATTCAATCTACCTGACCGGCTAACTCTGAAACCTAGGCTCTCTCCACTGTCCTGTTTGCTCCCTCTAAAAAGAATACAACACATATCTTTCTTTTATAATCTTTCTTTTCTTTTTTAATAAAAAAAATGTTTTATTTATTTGGCAGGGGGAGAGGGGGGAGGGCAGAGAGAGGGGGAGACACAGAATCTAAAGCAGGCTCCAGGCTCTGAGCTGTCAGCACAGAGCCTGACTTGGAGCTCGAACTCATGAACCATGAGATCCTCACCTGAGCCTAAGCCAGACACTTAACTGACTGAGCCACCCAGGCACCCCTCTTTCTTTCATAATAATTAATTTTTTAAGCAGTTCTGAGAGTCTGGGGACATGGCAAGACAGCCAGTCCTTGGAAAGCAGGGAATAAGGAAAGGAACCCAGTTGTGGAGAACAGAGAAACCCAGTGGTTAGAACTAGATGAGCCAGAAGACAGAGTGGGGGACAGTCCATCTGGCCATGGGTCTGGGGCTCTTCACATCCTCTCTGTCATGGCCTGCCAACACGGCAGGCCCAGGCTATGGCAGCAAGAGTCAATAGGTTTTGCTGCAACCAGTGAAGGCCAGTGGGTTCTAGACAAGGAGAATTATGAAATCCAGGTATACATACACAGTTTGTATTTGTGCCAGATTAAAAAAAAATAATAAAGTGGCCCTTGGTGGCAGGTCAGGTCTGAGAGGTACACAGGCAGCCCCTTGCTTCTCTTTCCTATAGTCCTGAGGAACTTTGAAGAAGCGAGGGTGTTCTCAGGCAAAGTGACTCAAAAATCCCCCGAGAGAAGAGATAGAGAGAGCATCGGCCGCTGTGAGATGAAGAAGACAAAATGAATCTCAGGGGCCTCTGCTTGTCCAAATCGGAAGGGTGGAGGCTGGGTAGCTCCAATGCCTCCAGGGCTGGGGGCCAGCAGCGTTCTCTGCTTAAACTGGCGATTTACCCGATTTACCAGGCTCTCAGGGAAGGACTTAACCAGCATTCCTAGAAGAATGCCCCAACGTGAAGTGTCACAGCCCCGCAGGGACATATCATTGGTAGGGGAATGTGCTGCACAGGAGAACAGTGTAGCAGCAGAAAACAGAATGAGAGCCACAGGCTGCCTTTGAAGCAGGCACTTTGTCTGACAGGCTAAAGGCAACTCTGAGGCTGAACTGAAGCCCTTCTTCCTTCCAGCTATCTCTACATCTCCTAACCCTCTTTCAATAATCCATGAAAATCCACTTCCTCCCTCATTCTCCTTCTTGTAATATTTATGGCACTTTTTATTTATGAGGCTTATTCTGCACTTAATGTTACTTGCCGTGTGATTTAATTTTTTCCACCTGTGTGCCTTTTTTTCTCCCCAAATGTATGTCATGCTTATATACCAAATAAACGAAGCATGTTGTCAAAGTTAGTGGGGACTGGGGCGCCTGGGTGGCTCAGTCGGTTGAGCGTCCGACTTCGGCTCAGGTCATGATCTCGCGGTCTCTGAGTTCGAGCCCCCCGTCGGGCTCTGTGCTGACAGCTCAGAGCCTGGAGCCTGCTTCAGATTCTGTGTCTCCCTCTCTCTCTCTGCCCCTCCCCCACTCATGCTTTGTCTCTCTCTCTCTCTCTCTCTCTCTCTCTCTGTCAAAAATAAATAAACCTTAAAAAGTTAGTGGGGACTAATATCTGGGAACACCATTTCTACTTCTTATCATGAAATCCTCTCGTATGGATGTCAATGTTTTTGCACACTTGCACAGAATATTCTTCTTTTCTCCATAGCCCAAGTTCCTTCTTTCCATCAAACGGGAGTGGAAAAGAGGTATACCTTCAAGGCCAGCATGTCTGGCAGAAGCTTTATGACAAAACTCAGTCCACGTGAAGTGATAGGACACGATCTTACTCTAGACCCAAGATCCCGCCCCTTCTGACTTTTATTGGCTTTCACCTTATATTTCACCTCTATTTACCTATGGACTGGGACACTTTGTCTTCCCCCCCACCCCAATGCAAATTTAGTGTCCATTCGTCTGACACTTCCGTTTCTGACCATCGCTGTACCTTTCTACCACATGTCTGTGGCCTAAGCTTCTTGTTGACCTCTGTTGTTATTTCTCTGCCTTCTGAGTCCTAACCCATTCCCTGGGCTTACTCCAGTTTTGATTCTGAGAGTTCTTTGACATTTCATCATGCTACATAGCTGAGCTGGGACATATCCCATGTTGTAGAGCTGGAACTTTAATCTAGTTAGTTCAGAACCTGTGAACATTGGACTTATAAAATATCATGCCTGCAATTAGACAGAGTTCACCTTTAGAGCCTTCTCGGCTGGCATTCTCCCTCTCCCTCTTCTTCTCCCTCTCCCTCTCCCCTCTGCCCCACACATTTAGTTTACTAATTCGGAGCACCTGAAGAAAATCTGACTTGGATAATTTTCTCATATTCAAAGGCAGAACGGTCATAAAGTCTCTAGGCTCATCTAGACAAAGGCCTTACTCTCTCTCATGAAAGGCTCTTGTCATGCCCCTTGAGGAAGCTAGGGAAGTTTCTAGTTCTGGAGCTAGGATGGGGAGAGTTGTATTATTACTTCCCCAGACTAGGACCGGGAATATACCCTTCCATAGAAAGCAATGTTAATAGGTGATGGTTAGTTTACCTGAAATACTATTCTTTGGGGGTATGCTACATGGAAAATAGGTTTCTACAGACTAATCCATAGAAACCACTAAAATAGAATAATATTTCTATAGAAAATGACTTTCGAGTTCAACGTTGACAAATAGCTTTTAAGACAAAAAAAAAATCTAAGCAAAAAATTAGGCAAGTGTGAAATCCAGGTTCCTCCAAGAGATCTTGCCTAACAAACATAACATTAAAGCAGCAACATGATTAAACTAAGAAAATCCCCTTCTGGGAATATACATGTGAATAGATATAAATATGCTTTTATATTAGGAAGAAGATTCTATTTCAACATACCTGTTGTCTTCCTCCAGACTTATCTTGGATAATAGTCCTGACAACAGCACCAGTAAACACGCAAGATCTGAAAAATGAGCTGACGACATTGCAGAGGCCGATGGCTATTAAATCCTGGAAAGACATGGCAAACGTGTTAGGCCCGCTGTTTGTTGAAGAAGGCAGACTTGGGTTTGATCTAAAGACACACCATCCATTTCCTATGTACGAAGACAGGATTGTTTACTTCACTTCAAACAACACAGAAATATTTCGTTTTTAAAAAAATGTTTATTTTTGAGAGAGACAGTGTGAGAGAGCACGAGCAGGGGAGGGGTAGAGAGAGGGAAGGACACAGAATGTGAAGCAGGCTCCAGGCTCTGAGCTGTCAGAGTGGCACCGAACATGGGGTTGCACCTTGCCAACTGCGGGATCATGACCTGAGCTGAAGTCAGACGCTTAACCAGCTGTGCCACGCAGGCGCCCCGGAAATACTCTTACAAAGAACAAAAGGATGGCAAATCTGATTTCCGGATTAACTTGAATCTTCATTTTAGCTACCCATCCTAAGAAAAGCACTTTTTCAAAGTGAGAAATGAAATTTTTGTCTTATTATTCCCTTTCACTGGGACTTCGGATGACAGGAGGAAACATAATACTAATTTTTCTCCCTTCCTTCCACACTATCTTAAAATCAAAGTGGGACAACTCTTTCTTCCACATTTCTCTTTTGAGTTCTAGGAAAAGGGCCAAACTCAGAATAGTTGGGAGATAAAAAAACAAAAAAAAAAACACACACACCAAGGACTGTTTCTGGGAGACCAATTTAATTATGCTAGTAGCCTGGCTTTGATATTCCCTAGCATTTCTTATCGCACCTCGGTATGTGGTTGACTCCTAAGAACTTGGAAAGGAGGATGAAATTAAGAGGACAGGAATTCTGCTAGCTTAACAACATGATGCCATATGTTATCTTCTTGCCTCCCCACACCATAGCTGTTCTGGGCGAATAACACTCATGTTAATTTAAGTGGCTTCAAAGTTAAGTGTGCCATGCTTCTCAAAAATCCTTTGGTAATTATAATTCAAATTTTGGTCTCACTGACTCTCTAGTTACAAAAGAATGCAGTCTTGGGGCACCTGGGTGGCTCAGTCTGTTAAGTGGTTAAGCTAAGCGTCAGACTTTGGCTTAGGTCATGATCTCACGGTTCATGGATTCGAGCCCCACATGGGGGCAGGGGGCTCAGAGCCTGGAGCCTGTTTCGGATTCTGTGTCTCCCTCTCTCTCTGCCCCTCCCCCACTCATGCTCTGTCTCTCTCAAAGATAAACATTAAAAAAAATTCAATCTTCATGTTGACAGGAGGCTCAGATTGGAGAACAAAGACTTAAGGGTCAGAGGAAATAACAGAAATGCCTCTCATCTCACCTGGTTGGAATTAACACGGTAGTTATGGCGACTGGCAACCTTCTTGCCCACAAATACCAGCAGAGAGGAGCTCACTAAAGCTAAGGAGAAGGCTTCTAAAATTAATTCAGGAAGAATGTTCAAATCTGGCATCACAGGAAACAGGAAGCTGGAATAAAATGGTGGAATTATTCCTAGAAAGCAGGAACCATTTATTGGCTCCTTCCCCACTCCAGCCTTATCATGTGGGGCAGGCAGGCCTGACCCTTTTTTGAAACTAACAATAAGAGGGGCGCCGGGCTGGCTCAGTGAGTTGAGCGTCTTCGGCCTCTTAATTTCGGCTCAGATCATGATCTCAGGGTTGTGAGATGGAGCCCTGCGTTGGGCTCCGTCCTGAGCCTGCAGCCCGCTTCAGATTCTCCCTCTCTCTCTGCCCCTCCCCTGCTGGCATGCACGCACTGTCTCTCTCTCAAAAAAAAAAAAGGTAATAACAACAAAAGATAGAAGAGTACTGAGGCAGCAGCCTGCCCAAACTGCCGGGAAACCCAGCCAGGTTACAAAAGCCACTGAGAGAACACTTGCTATCTTCCAGTTCGACATTCTTGCCATGTAGCAATAGCAACAAATAGGATAGGCAAACCACAAAGACTGACAGAAAATGGCCCCACCTACACTGTTAGAGACCATACCAGTGGATAAACAACAGGCAGATACCACATATAAGATGGTTTGGAGCCAAAACCCCAATGAATCCCCTTCTATTCACACTCAAATCTTTTAGGGTATAATTTTATGTACATTTTTTACATCTTTACCTCTTTTATATAAATTACTTCCAATTCTACTTACACCTTCCCCCCTATAGTTTTCTCCCCCTCATTTCTTTTCAGTGTGGTACATATGCATTGCAAGAAATCCACCATCTTATCCATTTTTAAGTGTGCCCTCCAGTGGTGTTAAATACACTCGGAACGCGCAACCGTCTCCACCATCCACGCTGTCACTCTTTTCACCTTGTAAAACTGAAACCCTATTAATCCAGTTAACCAATAACTCTCCATTTCCTCCTCCTCCAGCCCTGGCAACTACCATTCTCCCTTCTGTCTTGATGATTTGGACTACCCTAAGCACCTCATGTAAGTGGAATCATACAGGGTTTGTCTTCTTGTGACTGGTTTAGTCCACTCAGCATAAAGTCCTCAAGGTCAACCATGTTGTAGCATATGTCAGAATTTCCTTCCTTTTCAAGGCTGAATGATATGTATATATATTTTGCTTATCCATTCATCGTTGAATTATGAATTCTTCCACATTTTAGTTATTGTGAATAATGCTGCTATGAGCATGGGTTCATGAATATCTATTCAAGACCCTGCTTTCAATTTTGTGGGGTATATATCCAGAAGTAGAATTGCTGGATCATCTGGTAATTCTGTTTAATTTTTTGAGGAACCACCATATTGCTTTCCACAGTGGCTGTACCATTTTATATTTCTACTAATAGTGCACAAAGAAATCTACATCCTCACCAACTTTTGTTATTTTCTGTCTTAGATGCACACACACACACTGGTATAGGTATATGTATATATGCGCATATATATGTATGTGTATGTGTGTGCGTATGCACATACACAGTAGCCATCCTAATGGGGATGAGGTAGTATCTCACTATAGTTTCAGTTTGCATTTCCCAAATAATTAGTAATATTGTGTCTTATCATGTGCTTATATTTGTGAAGATTTTTGTATCACTGATCATCAATGTTCCTAAGTTTTCTTTTCTTGTAGTGTTTTTGTCTGGCTTTGGTATCAGGGTAATGCTGGCCTCATAGAATGTGTTGGAAAGAGTTTCCTCCTCTTCAATATTTTGGAAAAGTTTGAACAGTTCTTTAATGCTTGGTAGAATTCGCCAATGAAACCATCAGGGTCAGGATTTTTCTTTGTCAGGATATTTTTGATAACTGGTTCAATCCTTACTAGTTATAGGTCTATTCAGACTTTTTTTTCTTCATGATTTAGTCTTGGTAGATTTTGTGTTTCTAGGAACTTTCCATTTCATCTAGGTTATCAAATTTGTTGGCACACAGTAATAGTACTCTGTTATAGTCATCTTTATTCTGTAGTTATCTTTATTTCTGTAGAATTGGTAGTAATATCCTCATTTTAATTTCTGATTTGATCTTTTCCCTTTTTGTCTTAGAGCATCTAGCTAAAGGTTTGTCAGTTGTGTTGATTTTTTTAATGAACCGACTTGGTTTCATTGATTTCCTCTATTGTCTTTCTATTCTCTATTTCATCTATTTCCGCTCTTACCTTTGTTTCCTTCCTTCTGCTAGCTTTAGGTTTAGTTCATTCTTATTTTTCTACTTCCTTGAGTTGTAAAGTTGGGTTGTTGATTTGAGACCTTGCTTGTTGGTTTATTTTTAAAATGCAAGCATTTATGGCTATAAATTTACCCCTTGGCACTGTTTTTTGTGTATTGTATGTTGTGGTATGTTGTGTTTTTGTTTCCATGTATCTCTGTATTTTCTAACTTCTCCTGTGACTTCATTGATCTATTGATTAAGAGTGTGTTAATTTCCACAAATTTGTGAATTTTCATGTTTTACTTTTGTTATTGATTTCTAACTTCATCTCATCGTGGTCAGAGAAAATACTTTGTACAATATCTATCTTTTATAATCTATTGAGACTTAGGGCCCCTGGCTGGCTCAGTCAATGGAGCATGTGATTCTTGATCCCCAGGTTGTGAATTCAAGCCCCACATTGGGTATAGATAGAGATTGCTTAATAATAAAATCTTTAAAAAAATTTTTTTAGGGGCACCTGGGTGGCTCAGTCAGTTAATTGTCCAACTTCGGTTCAGGTCATGATCTTGGGGTTCATGGGTTCAAGCCCCGCGTCAGGCTCTATGCTGACAGCCTGGAGCCTGCTTTGGATTCTATGTCTCCCTTTCTCTCTGCCCCTCCCCCATTCATGCTCTCTCCCTCTCTCTCTCTCTCTCTCTCTCTCTCTCTCTCTCTCAAAAATAAAACATTAAAAAAATTTTTTTTTAATTTTTAAATCTATTGAGACTTAATCTGTGACCTAATGTGTGGTCTATCCTGGAAAGTAGCCCATGTGCACTTGAGAAGAATATGTATGCTGTTGTTCAGTACAATGTTCTGTGTATGTCTGTTAGATCTGATTGGTCTATTATGTGTTGGTTAGGACCTGTCTCCTTACTTATCTTCTGCCGGGGTGTTCTATCTATTACTGAGAGTGGGGTATTGAAGTCACCAACTGTTATTGTAGAACTGTCTATTTCTTCCTTCAATTCTGTCCTTTTTTGCTTCATGTATTTTGACCGTTTGTCATTAGCTGTGTAAATGTTCATAACTGCTTAATAATTATTGGATTATTTATAGCATACAAATAATTGGTTTGTTTATAACATATAATGTCCTTCTTTGTCTCTTGTAAACTTTTTAAACTTAAAGCCTGCTTTGTCTTATATTTGTATACCCACTTCTGTTCTCTTTTGGTTACCATATCTTTTCTCATTCTTTCACTTTTAATCTATTTGTGTCTGTGGATCTAAAGCACTTCTCTCTCTTTTTTTTAAATGTTTATTTATTTATTTTGAGAGAGAGAGAGAAAGCAAGAGAGAGAGAGCAAGGGAGGAGCAGAGAGAGAGGGGAGAGAGAGAATCCCAAGCGGGCTCTGTGCTGTCAGTGGAGAGCCTGACACAGGGCTTGAGCCCACCAACTGTAAGATCATGACCTGAGCTGAAATCAAGAGTCAGACGCTGAAATCAAGAGTCTCTTACAGATAGCATATAGTTGGATGATGTGTTTTATCCAATCTTCCAATCTCTCTTTTGACTGGAGAGTTTAATCCATTTACATTTAAAGTAATTACTGATATGAAGGGACTTCTGTTATTTTGCTATTTGTTTTCTATACGTCTTATAGTTTTATATGTCCTTCATTTCCTGCATTATTATCTTCTTTTGTGTTTAGTTGATTTTTTTTGTAGTGAAATGTTTAAATTCCTTTCTAATTTCCTTTTGTATATATTCTATAACTATTTTCTTTGTGGTCACCATGGGGGTTACATTTAACATCCTAAAGTTATAACACTCTAGTTTGAATTTACACCAGCTTAGCTTCAATAATGTACAAAAACTCTGCTCCTTTACAGCTCTATTCATACCCTTTTCTGTTACTGATGTCACAAAATTATACCTTTATACATTGTATACCTCAAAACATAAACTAGTGATTTTTTTAAATGCACTGGTCTCTTAAATTATGTAAAAAATAAAATGTTGAATTACAAACCATTGTTAATAATACTAGCTTTTATAATTTTCCAATATTTACCTATACTGAGACCTTTATTTCTCCATACAGCTTTAAGTTACTGTAAATTATCCTTTCATTTTACCCTGAAGAACTCCCTTGAGTATATCTTCCAAGGCAGGTCCAGTGGTAATAAACTCGCTTAGCTTTTATTTATCTGAGAATGATTTAACTTTTTTACTTTTGAAGGAAAATTTTGCTGGATATAGGATTCTTGGTTGATGGTTTTTTTTTTTTTTCTTTTAGCACTTTGTTGGCCCACTGCATTCTGGCCTCCAGAGTTTCTGACGAGAAGTCTCTCATTACTTTATTGATAAGCCCTTATGTAAGAGTCACTTCTCTTTTCCTTTTCAAGATTCTCTTTGTCTTTTGAAGTTTGATTATATATCTAGGTATGGGTCTCTTTGAGTTCCTCTTACTAGGAATTTGTTAGAGTTACACGTTTACACTCATGTTTTTAAATCAAGTTTGGGAAGTTTTCAGCCATTATTTCTTCAAATGTTGTTCTCATCCCTTTCTTTCTCTCTTCTCCTTCTGAGTCTCCCACTGAGTGTGTGTTGCTCTGCCTGATGGTGTCCCATAAGTCCCTAAAATTCTGTTCATTTTTCTCTAATCTTTTTTCCTTCTGTTCCTTAGACTCAATAATTTCCATTATCTTATCCTCAAGTTCACTGATTTTTCCTTCTGACTGTTCAAATCTGCTTTTGAATCTCTCTAGTGAATTTTTCCTTTCAGTTATTGTGCTTCTAAGCCCCATAACTTCTTTTTGGTTTCTTTTAAGTTTGCTATTTCTTTTTTGATATTTCCATTTTGTTCATACATT